TGAAAAGATCTGTTAGTGGAATGAACAAGAAAGCCTGCTTGCAGTGGGTACAAGAGAGGATAACAAGAGTTATGTAAGATAGTCATGGGCAAGTCTACCTTCAAAGGAGCAATTATGAGACCAACATATGATTTTCTCAATGGTGACAAATACTGAAAAACAATGGAAAATCATCTTTATGCTGAAGTTATTGCCAATTCAGAATTTTATACACAATGAATATATTCATCAAAACGAAGGCAGAAAATCTATGTCCTTAGATAAACCAAAACTGAGAATTTAATCATCAGCAAATTTTCATTAAAAAAACACTAAAAAAGAGCTCTTCACTTGGAAGGAAAATTATTCCAGAAGAAACCACAATGATGCAGAAATAAACTTCAGAATGGTTAAGTATATGGGAAAATACAGAAATGCTTATTGTATAAGATAATAAAATGAAATATAGATTTTAACATATATTTGGGAATGAGATGCTATAATACTAGCATAAAGCCAGGAAGGGTTTAAAAATTGTTAAAGTGTTATGAATTCCTTGGATTATTCCATAGTATTTTTAGGTAGAATCTATAAGGAAGGATATGCAATGAAATCCTTAGGGTAATTATTAGAATAATAACCAAATGTTTAATTGATAAGCTAATGAAGGGAACCAGTGAAATTATAATATGTTTGATCTAAAAGAAATCATTAATTGGAAAAAGATACAAACATAAATAAATGAGCAGAACAAAGAATAACATATATTGAATAAAAATGGACCAAATAATCTGACTAAGGAACTAAGCTATTCAGCCCAAGTTAAAAAAAAGCAACTGAATAAAACTATGACTGAATACAAGATATTAGTAGAGAAAAATTGAAAGAAAAAAGATAGAAGGAAGATATACATTCATATGCAAAAAAGGAAGTTGGTGTGGTTTTACTAATAGTCAATAAAGACTCAAGCTGATTTCTAGTGATTAGCCAGCATATTTTACAATAAAAAGGCTTATTTTCATAGAAAGATGTGACAATTCTAAATGTACATATCCATATCACAGACTTAAATATATAAAACAAAACTGCCAAGTAAGAATAAATAAATCCATAATTATAAAAGATCTTAATCAATTTTAAAGTTAACAGAACACACAGGCATATAAACGAAGTACCACACTTGACAAAATTTACACATATAAAATGCTGCAATAAAAAATGACAGAATACACTGTCAAGTACGCATGGAATACTTAGAAAAAATAGACCCTATATTAATGTGAAGCAACTCTTAGCACTTTTCAGTAGACTGAAGTTACTCAGTATGTTCTCCGATTGAGAAGAATTAAACTAAGAGTATTAGAAAGATAAACAGAAAATCCACCACTGTATGAATGCTAAACAATATAATTCTAACCAACCTGTGAGCTAAAGTAGAAATCACAATAGAAATTATACAATATTTTGAGTATAATAATAGTGAAAATAAAATACATCAAAGCTTGTTGAGGTATACGCCAATGTTCATAACAGCATTATCAACAATAACACAGAGCATTATCAACATTATAACACAGCATTATCAACAATAACAACAATAACAAATATCCTTCAAAGATAAATAGCTAAACAAAAAATGGTATATACATAAATGAAATATATTCACCCTTAAAAAGAAACAAAATTCTGATATATGCTACAACATATATGAACCTTGAAGGTATTATGCAAAGCAATATGTGTCAAAAAACAGCATACTGCATGGCTCCACTTACCTAAGGTACCTGGAGTGGTCACTTTCATAAAGAAGAATACAAATTAACCAGGGCTGGGGTGGGGGGGAATTGCAAAGTAAACTCAAAGCAGGATAATTTCAATTACAAAGATAAGAACAAAAATCAATAACATTAAAAATTCAGCCATGAATCACTCAACAACATGGCAAAACCCATGTGCACCCCTTGTCTTTCACCATGTGATGCTATGTGCTGCCTCAGGACATGTCAGCAAGAATCTTGGTGTGGCCTCTAGATCTCGAATCTCCAGAATTTTGAGCCAAAATTAACTTCTTCTCTTTATAACTTAATCTGTAGAATTGTGTTATTAACAACAGAAGATGGACTAATACCCCTAGTGACATTGTAGTCATCTTAGTTTTTGTAAATACACTTCACCATGTTCACACAGCTAGTAAGTCTTCTAATGACATTTCTCAGCATGTATCCTTGTTAAGAGCTTGCAACTGTTGTGGGTAGATAGCCTTCACAGCAGCAATGCAGTTGTTCCCTAGATAGGGTCCTGTAACATTTCATGGTGGACATTCAAAAGTACAACACTGTGCACTTTGTTGGCACAAGGCTTTCCTGTGAAAAAAAATTTTTACACATTTCTTACACTCTCAGCCATCTGACTGTGGTTTTGTCTGAAATTTTAACATTTCAAGGCAGTATGAGAAGAGCCCTTGTTTGCTAAGTATAGAAAGATGACAAAGAGAACAAACGCACAAGACTTTTATTTGCCCTCCCCACCACCACCAGGTTTTCAGGATCCATTCTTCCTCACTTACAGACTGCCTTCAGAATCTCTTAGAGATAAAACTTCTGAGCCTGGCAGTGTCTGAAGTTTGCTCTACCCTCCCTGTGCACACTGCCTGGCATGGCTCACTGCCAGTGACCCTGTGCTCCAAGGAGGGACCTGATGACTTCAGAGTCCTCACACTCTTCCCTGCTTTGGAGCATGGCTTAGCCCAGGCCCTTGATTGCTGCTTCTTGCAGCACAACCCCTTCTGCATTAATGAGGGGATAGGTTATAAATTATAGGCCTTGTTTTGTCCACAGAGATTGGCAAAGTCAGACAGAAGAATATCTTAGACTTTTATAGCTATGACTGACCTTACAGCTCAGCCTCAATCTTTAAGGGAGGAGGAAACTAAAGCCCACAAGACATACTTAGAAGTATTTGTTAGACCCAGCGAGAGAGAACCAACCAGTGACCAATATTAAATCCACACAGGAGTTTATTACCTGCCGGACCCGAGCAGAGCGTCCGACTCGAGCCCCGACTGGGGGAGACAAACATGTTTTATACACCTTCCAGGCCAACAGTTTCTAGGCCCCCCTATGGGACAGAACTAGCAAAGCAAGCTAAAGGTACGGAAGTGGAACTTCCTGCCGTTAGAACATTTGTAAAACAATAGTTGATTAATTGCTGTTTCTAAAGAGACTTTCTAAGGGGAGGAGTTTTCTAAGCTTCCTCCTTCTGAGTTCATCTAAAGGGCAGACAGGTGGGTCAAGCAGCCATATGGAGTCTGTTTTGCTAACTAGGGTCCTTCAGTATTAAATACTTTTTTATTTCAGAGCTGAGGACGAAAGCCAATGCCCTCCACATGCACCCTGTCACTGAGCTGTATTCTCAGCCCAATATATTTATTTTTAAAGAATTCTTAAAGTGACTAGACAGTGTAGAGATGAGCAAAATAAAGTGTAAGTCCCCTCTCTCCATCCCACTCCACAATGTTGAACAGTATTTTTCTTTTCAGTTGTCACCCTAGCTTTAAAGAAAGTAACTTTTTCTCCCAGATACTACATCACCTGTGTCTGCTACTCTTTTGTTGTTTTTTTTCTTTCACTTTTTTAACCATATATTTCATTAATCTCTTCCTATGTCAGCACATACGGATGCAAAAAAAAAAAAGAAAGAAAGAAAGAGACTAGAAAAGCCCTAGGTATGTTTTTGAGAGGCCTTGCAGGTGGCTGCAAGCAACCTATACAAGAAAATCAATACATTTAGCAGCATCTGGAACATTTTTCCGATTTCATCTCCCTTTGTACTTAGTGCTTAAAGACCAGCTCCTAAGAGAGGGACACTCAGTCTAAGCCCTTGGTAAAAAGTATCAAGTGTGGAAAAGGGAATCAATCAGGACTGAGCACTTCTGCTAGGAGGAGAGAAACCAGTATTCAAGCAGCATGGTCTCTGGGCAGAATTAGAGCCTCCTCACTACCTCAGTGCTTTGTCTTAGCTCCATTCCCCATCCCACCTCCTGACCTACGAGGATGGAGCCCAAGATACTCTACCACCGAGCTACACGCTCAGCTCAGTCTCCCCTTCCCCGCTTGACATAGGGTCCCACAAATTATCCAGGCTTACATCAAAGTTGCAGTTCTCCTGCCCCAGCCTCCTGAGTAGGAAGGAGGCTGAGGATTGCAGCTGCACGGCTGCACACCCGGCCTTAACTCCGTTTCGAGCACATGCCATCCCTGCTGTTCCTTATCAAACTCTCCTTTCCTTGTATCCCTTATCCATCCCTCACCCCACACCCCCGTCCTTTCTCTTCTCCTACCCTTTCAATCCATGGCTCGGGCTTTCCTTGGCCTGTAGGCTATTTTGGCAAACACTGCATCACAGGTTCAAGAAGCTCTCCAGCGTCTCGCTCAGCTGACACACACTGACTGGCGGATCCCAAAGGTCGGGTCCCCAAAGCTCCTCTAAATCAAAGTAAGGCCGCTGCTACGAATGACCCTGATGCAGAAGCCAGGGTCCAACGTGTAGAGCAGCGCTTGCAGGTTGCTCAGGGAACACTGAGCTTGGACCTCCAAAAGCTGAGTTTCAGTACAGAGGCCTCTTTATTTGGATTTATCAACAAACTGCTCAGGATAACCAAAATCCTTCCACGCTCAACAGCCTGACCCCATAATCCCACACTCAATCCACCCTGGCTGGTCCCAGGGCGCCCAAAGTGGTACGAGGTGAGTTCCAATTTCCATCCCGAAGCTGCCCAACATACGACCTCGATTCTCCCCATTTCTTCCTAAGCGCCGTCCCGTGCAATCGTGGCACCTCACAGAGCTGAGAAGCTGCTGGGGCTGTAACTTTGCGCCTGCACCAGGGCGACCCGCGCGCAGGACGCAGGTCTCTCGGCAGCTGCCAGGACCAACACCCTACCGGCGACAGAAGAAAGAAGGCCGCAGGCTGGCGCCCGGAGCCGCGTCCCCAGCTCCGCCTCTCGGCCCGGGAACTCCGCCCCCGAACCCCAAGACCGACTTCGCCGCCGCCCAGCGGACTCGCCGTCCTCACAGCCACCGGGATGAGGTGATCACCGCCGAGATGACGGGGCTCTGGCTGGGGCTGGTCGCGCAAAAGCTATTCGTCTGGGGCGCGGCGAGCGCCGTCTCCCTGGCCGGCGCTACCCTGCTCCTCAGCGTCCTGCAGATGTTAGCAAGCTACGCGCGGAAGTGGCTGCAGATGAAGCCCATACCGACCGTGGCCTGCGCCTACCCCTTGGTAGGACACGCGCTGCTGATGAAGCCCAACTCCACGGGTAAGGGGTCGCGCCCAGGCGGTAGGGGAAGACTGGTGGGCCCCGTACCCTCCCTCCGGGAGCCACACTGGGGGTCCGCATCCGCCCCCTCCCCAACGGCCTAATTTTTCAGCGGCTGGAACTCCAGAACTGGAGGCGCTGCTAGGAGAATCTGTAATTTGCTAGAGAGTGGAATCCCAAATCCATCCAGTTTTCCTTTTGACACCTGTAGAAATGGCTCATGCCCCACTCATGCAGTACCTAACCTTTTCTTTACGTATAGCAGAATACAGTGTTTACGCGCTCCTGGCTTTCTGCTTCCTTCTGTAGCTGCGCAGATCTCAAAACACTGTCTTTTCTTCAGTCTTGGCTTGTAAAAGAAACTCTCCCAGAACCTCACAAACACCCCCAAAACTTAATGCCACGCTCCTCTCCCGCTCTGTAAAGTAAGGGGTTCTTCTGAGGTTTCAGTCCTCACCCTGATCCAGACATCATGTGACTTAACCCCTACATACTTTCATTCCTTCTTGACTTTCACAGTTTAACCCTCTTAAGGAGGTTTCATAGTAATAGTCGATAAATTGTGCTGGAACAGGTTTTCAAAAGCCTTGTTTATTAAAGAATGAGTTTTAAAACTTGAAATAATCTTTTAAAAAGAGATAGACCTGTTTTGTCCATATAAAAAAATCATTTTAAGTTAGAAAGGTCTCAAAAGTACCTGGTATTTGTAGTCTCCCATTAAGGTCAGTAAGCTACATCGGAGCACCTCACTTCTGTGGTGTATAAATTGGATACCCAGAACCCAAAACAAAATGACATTTTAAAATGGACTCTAACCAAAACCCCGTTCTTTTTCAGGTTTATTATGAATAATTGTTTTACAGGCTGGGCATTACCTCCAAAGCTTGAAGGATTATTTCATTTTCATTGTTTCCCCAGATAAAAATAACACTGTCATTTCAACTTCACAAGAGTAAGATGAGGCCTCATGAGAAAGTGTTCACTGAACTATTGTCTGGTAGAACAAATCCAAGTAAACATTTTCAACCAAGTATCAATGACTAATGGTACAAGTAACCTGAGAGCACATTTAAATATATGAAAATCACGTTGATAAAAATCATCTTGATTAATATAAAATCAGAGCTAACCTCCCTTTAACCCTAAGACTTTACAGTTTTAATAATTGTGTAGAAATACATTCTCCCTATGTCCATCATAATGCCAAAAGACACAATCTCAAATTTTGTAATCCCAATTGTTGAAATACTGAAAGATCAAAGTCTCTGAAGTCTAAAATTCCCAAAATCACAGCTGTGAAATATTCAAATCCCAAATGCTGAAATCCTGAAAGCCAAAATCCAAAGTAAAAAATCTTACTGAAAAAAAGGCTACATAAAAAGGATGGAAAGCCAAATTCTGGGGAAAGGATGAATGTTTCTGGTTCTACACAGAACAGTTGCATCATGTTAGGAAGAATGAATAACTGGAAACGGAGTACAGCATTGTTTTGTATGTTTCTGTTTCCAGAGAAGATTGGCATGTGAATATCAGTGGATTAAGGAGAGAAGATCCAAGCTCAGTGTGGGTACAGACCATCCAATCTATAGTGGCTCAGAGGGAACAAATATAGAAGGCAAATGGGTCAGTTTCTGAGAGCTGGGACAGTTTTTTCTGCTGCCTTGGACATACAAACGCCCAGCTTATCAGCCTTCAGGACTTAGGCCAGTACTGGCCTCTGCCATCCCATTTTCTATGCTATGCATTTCATCTTTGCATCATTTCTAGTACAGTGTAAATTGTACAAAGACTCAGAGCATTCTAACATTGTAATTCATTTTATGTATTTTTTGCACATTTTGGCTTAGCAAAAGCTCATTATCACAGCGTTGACTTTGTGTGTAAGCACTGTGGGTGTATATGAAAACATTGAAACACCCTCAGTAAATAAAAAGGTGTCTTTTTTCTAATATCTGCATCTGTGAAATATAAAATTTTTGAGATCTCAGCCCTTTGTACAGATGCCTATGTTGTGATGACTCACCCTTGTGGTTTTTGATCTGTCTTTTCACAAAACTTAAGTTGTCGGTTACAGTATTTCAGGTGCTAGCAGATATAAAGTTGGATGTACACATTTACCAGCCATACTGATAGGTGATTATACATTTTGCTCTTTGATCTATTTTCATATGAGTACAGTTTGACTGCTCATGACTGTTAACTGTACCTATGTGGCTGTCATTAATATACCTCAGTGTTTTTGTTATTGCAAAAACATTATGCCATTATTATTTATTTTATTGTGCAAAATGGTTTATGAAGTGTTCTGTCATGTTTTTGTTTCTCAAATCCCCTTTTAAAAATATAAATGTTTGTTAAAGAATTTAAAAAATTATTTTTCCAGAATTTTATTTTCAGGATTTTAACCTTACAATACTTTGGAATTTAGGGATTTTAGACTTTGAGTATTTTGATCTTTTAGGATTTCAATATTTGGGACTATAGAGTTCATAATAATGTCTTTTATGACATAAACCTAGATTCTCCGTCTCAGCTTTATTCCTAGAAAGTGATACATTTAAAGAATCTCATCATATATTGAGAAGGGATTCCAAGAATTAAAATCTCTACTGAGAACACAAGTTTTAAAACAAACTGTGAGCTAATTGTACTATTTAAGGTAATTCTTTGTGGAATGACTTTGTGAGGAGAATGATGATATTTTTTCATTTACAAAGGGACTTTTTATTTGATCAACAAGTACTGGATTTTGGCATTATGGAACTGTTGCTTAGTTTCCAACTTTGTAACTGTATTTGAGAAATTATTTAAAACTCTCTAAGTCAAAGGAGGGTTTTTTCATCATTTTATTTATAAAAGAAACTATTATAGAGTTAAATTTGTAAGGATTAAATTTAATGCAAGGAAAGTTTCTAGATTACTGTCTAACACTTGGCTAGGATAAGTCCTTTAATTGCCAGTCAAACATTTACTGAAGCCCTGCTTTGGATCCATCACTGAGCTCAGCAAAGTTGGGAATATGAGGCTATTCTAAAATACAGTCCCTGTACTAAGTTACATTATTTCTATACAAGAGACTAAACCTTCCATTCTGTGGCCTAAGCTTGAATTCTGGCTCAATAATCTCACCTGTATCATTGCATGTGGCTTCCTCTAGCTTCTAAACTCTGACTTGGTGCTTCTCCAGTCCATTGTGTCAATGCCTGCTTTCCCCAGCTGTGCCCAGCTGTGTCCAAAGCCCTGACCTCAAACCACAGATTCAAACTTCCCACTTCTTCCTGTTAGGCAGACCAAGGCAGGCAGTATATAAGCATGATGCCACATGTTTTGATACTGGTGGTTTGATCCAGCTCTTTTCATAGCAGTTTTGACAACCATTTTATCCAAGAGACATTCCAAGCCAAAGCCATGTGTAACGGTTAAGTTGCCATTCTAGAGTCTGAGTGCAAAGCCAAGTCCTGCCATTTTCTATCTCTGTGACACTGGGCAATGATGTTTTACAAGCGCACATCTGGCACAGCAAAACCTAATAATAATTATCATCTAATAACTAATATCACAATGTTGTATTTATTTGTGATGGAAAATATTATTTTGGAATAATTTTAGATCTATAGATAAGTTGCAAAAAATAGTAGAGTTCACATCTGCCCCCTCCCAGCCTCTTTTGATGGTAACATTCTACAGAATTAGTGCTGTATATCTACCAAAATGAGATAATAAACATTTTTCATTACTATTAAAATTTATTTCTTGATTGAAATTAAAATGAAACATTTTTTTCTAGAATTTTTTCAACAGCTTATACAGTACACAGAAGAATTCCGACACATGCCACTGCTGAAACTCTGGATTGGGCCAGTGCCAATGGTGGTCCTTTATCATGCAGAAAATGTGGAGGTGAGTATATCGTAAATAAGATATTTCACTTATATTTGATATTGTGAGAATACATGTAATAAATGTGCCCTTAAATTTCCTTTAACTCAGTACAAAGAGCATTTCATTAAATGTTTTAGGTTATGTAGGTTCCATTTAATGAATTCTAGATGTAGTGAGACTCTTGAAGAGACTAAAACTCTCCATCTATCTTTGTACATTTGTAAGTTCTCAATATATTTGTTCTCCTTTTTTGGAAAGTCTCTAGAAGGATATGCCTGTTTAGAACCATAAGTAGATTATTCCACAAGGCTGGCACTTGTTGTTCACCACACACACTTGTAATATTTCAAAATATGACTAATTAAATATGGTGCTTCTCTTGTGGTGCTCAGGGTCTCATATAATAGCAGTGAAAATCTTATTTTGCATTTAAAGGGGAATGCTAACGTGATGTTTACAGAATAGACATTATTAGTCCCTGCTGTTGAAATTAGTCCTAGGAAAGTTTGTATTTATTATTGTTCCACTGGGAAACTATCTTGGTAGTATGATGAGAAAAGTATTTGGATTTGGGTCAGGGAGTAAAAATGTGACAGAGCTTCTCTTCATGGAACAAAATTAAAAAAGAATTTCTTGGGGCTAGTACTGGAACAAGTCTTTCTTGGTCTTTGTGATAAAAATGTGGGAGTTTTTCTTGTACCACACTCCAGAATCCTAGTTCAGGGAAGGTAATGAGGGAAACAAGGCGTAGGATTCTGGCTGCTGTAGACCTACTGAAGTTGGTTTGATATTAAGATAGAGATCTGTCCAGAATGGAGGAAGCCTGGGGAGCATTCTGTACTCCATCTTAGATGCTCATCTCTTCTACTTAGCTTCAACTGTAGGCAATTCCATCACATTCATTGTTTTCAATGGTAGCTATATGCTGGAGACACTCAAATATGTTACTCTAGTTTAAATTTTTATCCTGAGCTTCACAGCTGCTTTCAGACCTTGGAAACCTGCATACCTCAAAATCAGCATGCCTGAAGAGAATCTCGTGATGTGGTCCTCCTCCAGATTTCCCTACCCTCTTCTCCCCGACCTCATTTAATGTTTCTACTTGCCTCCAAATTTATGGCAAGAATCAGGGAATTATTTTCTCCTCAACTCCACTTAATTCCCCAAACTGAATGACAGATATATATGTTCAAAACTCTGATTGGATTTCTTTGAGGCATAAGAATGAAAATGAACTTCAGAGAAAATAATGGTTTTGAAATACAAAATGTAGTTGTATACCAACTAAATTTTCCTATAAATGAAGTTGTTTTGATGTCTGTATATGTCTCATTTTTTTTCCCTCTACCTAAGGTAATTTTAGCTAGTTCGAAGCAAATTGACAAATCTTTTGTGTACAAGTTCATACAACCATGGCTTGGTTTAGGACTTCTTACAAGGTAGGTCGGTGTAAATTTGTAAATAGTTACTTCTGTGTGCAAATTGTTTTTTCAGGAATTGACAAAAGATAGTTGTTCTGTAGCAAGACTGCCCTCAGGAAGGAGGAAAGATGCTAGAAGGGGAGGTCCAGTTAACTGCGGGTCTTGGATAGATAGAGGTTCGAAGTGTCTGGTCATCTCCAGTCATTGTATTCAATATTGACGACCAACAATGCTCCAAAAAAAATTAGGAGGTCTCAGTGTTCAAGTGCAGTAAAGCAAAAGAATATCTGGAGCAGGGAAATTTGGCAAAGGCAATGAAAAAAGGCAGTCAACTTCAGAGAAGTATATTGAACACAGTGACTTCAAACCTGACCTGGCATCCAAAGATAGGACTGCATCTTCTAAGAGGGCCCAGTAAGAGAAAAGCAGGTCCCTTATAAGGACTTTGGAGAATTCAAAAACAGTGAAAATGGAAGTAGAGTCATGGAGCAAGTGGACATCTGAGAACTGAAGTATCAATGGGGGAAGAAAAAATTCTTAATTTTAGAAACGCAGAACCTACAAATGAAGAGCAATTCTTACTTTATGGCTGCTATTTTAACTATTAATATCATGGAACAGTGTTCAAAATATCTATATTTTGTAACTACTTGTTAATATTTGGTATGTTTGTCTTGCTGCTCTGACCAAAACATTTGAAAATCTGCAGATAGAGCTGTTTTAGAGTTTTTCTGGCTTAGGTACATTTGTGCTTTGTTTTGGATGAGACTTCTCTTTTATTTGTAACCATTTCTAGTACTGGAATCAAATGGCGCTCCAGGAGAAAAATGTTAACGCCCACTTTCCATTTTACAATTCTGGAAGATTTCTTAGATGTCATGAATGAACAAGCAAAAATACTGGTTAATAAGCTTGAAAAACATGTTAACCAAGAGGCATTTAACTGCTTTTTTTATATCACTCTTTGTGCCTTGGATATAATCTGTGGTAAGTCTGATTAATTTGTATCTAACTTCATGGCATAAAGATAAAATAGACCAAATAGAAAATAACATTGGGAAGAGAAATGAAAAAATTGGAAAGGACATAGAACTCAAGTTGATACAACTGATAAGTTGTCCACTGAGGAATAGCAGCCACTCATAGGGCAATGAGCAGAGCCAATTAGCTGGGAAGGTCAAAGGGAAAGAAGAACAGGAGCATGAAGTGGGAGAAGCAGCAAATACAAGAAGAACAAATAAAGGAGAAAAATAATTCTCAAATGTAGCAGAGAGGAACAAGATTTTGCCTTTTCCAGTGTTCGGCACTGTAAAATAAGCAAAAGATATGTGCATGAATTGAATGGTTGCTTCTCCTCCATATTTTATAGAAACAGCTATGGGGAAGAACATTGGTGCTCAAAGCAATGAAGATTCCAAGTATGTCCGTGCAGTTTATAGGTAAATGGAATTCTTTCCATTAGTCTTTAAATTGTTGAGTTGGACTTTAAAAATTATGGCTAATTATTTGTGTTTGTGTTGTACCTTCGTATTATTTCAAAACAAACCATTAAACTAAAATTAAGCTCATAATTTCAGCATATATTTTGGCAGGGGAGGAATGGTTATGTAAATTATGGTATATCTAGGTTATGCAAAAATTTTAAATTATTACTTTTTTATATACTGAGATTATATTATGATGTGTGTTGTGATACATTATGATACTAATGAAAGAGATAAACAAGTCTTGTAGTACAATAACCACTACTATACAAAACCACTACTATATGTGTACGAGGAAAAAACCCAGAAGAATAATACTAAAGTATTAATCATTGTTCTGTGTATGAGTTTGTCTTTCTTGTTGCATTTTTGTATTTATTGATATTTATTTTCCTGTTCCATATTTTCTACACAGGGTAGGTATTGTTTGTAATGGAAGCAATCAGTTTTACTTTAAAATTGTAGGCAATTATTCAGCTACTAAGAAGCAGAGACAGGATTTGATTTGATATTTCTCATCTTTGTCTACTGTTCATTTCACTTCATTTTAACAAGTATTTATTGGCCATCTCTGATATACCAGTCATCACATACAGTGCTAACTGATTTGTATTGGTACCTAAAACATAATAGCATAGGAGACAAGCATTGGATCATCAAATATAAACTTAAGAATTGTAATACTTAGGAAGAAAAGAAAAAACTGATATTTAAAAAAAAGCAGGGATAGATTCTGTTCAGGAAAGGTCTCTGAAAAACTGCCCTCTAAGCCCATTCCGCAGGAGGCAATCATGTAGAAGACTTTCTGTCCCATCCCTGGGATTAGGAGGGAGTTGCTAGGGACAGCCATGCAGAAGAGGGCATCCAGATTTTCATCATCACTTAGATGACAAAAGTGAGCAGATGAATGGGTGGGTCTTAAAAAGAGGCTGGGCAGCCTTGGGAAGTTGAGAACTCACCATAGATGAACAAGCATAGAGACTAGATGCCATCTATAAGGATGTATTACAGTGGATTCTTCATTCCTCTGAAGAATCCATTATTTTTTAAGCTTCACTGGATGTGTAATAGCCCATTCCTTCATTGTTTAGCCCTAAGCTTGAGAGACTAATCAGCCTCATCCACATGTATTACCTTCATCAAGCCTAGACACCAAATAGGTACTCAACAAATATATATTTCTAATGTAAAATATGATGCATTTTTATTCCATTACAGGATGAGTGATAAGATTTTTCGAAGAATGAAGATGCCCTGGCTTTGGCTTGACCTTTGGTACCTTATGTTTAAAGAAGGACGAGAACATAAAAGGGACCTAAAGATCCTACATACTTTTACCAAAAATGTAAGCCATTTTTCTCATTACAGTAAAATATACATAACAAAAATTCACCATTATAACCATTTGAAGTGTATGATTCAGTGGCATTGAGTACATTCACAATGTTGTACAGCCATCATCACTATTTCCACAAATTTTTAAGCCCATGATTTTTTGTTTTGTCAGTATATACAATATAAAACCATAAAGCCTGTGACTTATAAAATGAAAGTTAAATTGATGGAAAAAATTAGTGTAAAAAGTGAGCAATATGATTACATTTAAATTATATATTCAGTTAATATTAAGTGCCCACTAAGTGCCAAACACTGTACCCAATGAATAAGATGTGTATGATCCCTCCATATCTAGATTCGTCTAATAGGGGAAGTTATCCATAAACAAATTATAACAAAATATGACGTTGGCCATGAACATTTCATTGACAAACAGGGTGCTGTGTAAGAATAAGGAAGCAGAGATCTGGGTATAAGAGTCTTCTGGAAAATATTTGGAGATGGCAATAGTTTTCAAACCAAAAGGCATTTTTTAAAGCATACCTTAATTTAGAAAAAAATAATTTTTCTACTATTTTATTTCCAAATGAAAAAACAAGAGATAAGGATTTTGATTTGAAGATAGTATACCAATCTTTTTGTCAAAATGTGTTTATGAAAACACCAAGCTTTGGTTGAAAATACACATCAAGTTACAACTTAAATATATTTAAAAAGTACCTATATGAACATATTCTTTCTTTACTGTAAACTTTGGTTGAAATGCATTGGAATTGCATTTCGTCAGGAAATTGTAGGAGAACACCAAATAAGTTGTAAATTTTGTCAGTTGCCTGATAGGAAAAATAAAATTGAAATGTGTAATCAAATGTATGGACTTTAATTGATGTATTCATTCAACAGATATCTAATGAGCATTCTTAAAATGCCAGTGGGTGTTGTACAGTTTGGAAATATATCAAGGAACAAAAGCAAATGTGCTGCCACATGGAAGGTAGCATTTGAGTTGGAGGAGAAAGATATTGAATAGTAAGTGTAGTACTTTGTCAGGTGTAAGTGAAAAAGGAGGCTTGGAAGGTAGTGCCAGGGATTAGGGTAGCAGTGATCAGGCAGAGTCTCTGAAATGGTGACACTGAGCAGAGATCTGAAAGAAGGGAAGGAGCCAGCTATGTAACCATGGGAGGCAAGAATATTCCAGGGATACAGAATGGCATAAAAGTGGACAGATGAGTCAAGATGCTGTTTTTTTTTCTTCTAACACAACACAGAGTAATTAAGTCATCTATAATTAGTTTCTTGCATAATGGTTGTATTTACTCTACCACTTAAACTTTTTCTCATTAACTCATTCAAATTTCTAGGGTACTATTTAGTATAGTATGACTCTATTCTTACTAGAAAGATTACAAAAATAGCACTTGAAAATTATGCATTTGTCTGGTGTTAAATTTGTTTTTAATAATTTCATCAAATAATGCCTTAAATGTTAACAGGAGGCTTACATTTTCACAAGAGCCTAAATTGTCATTGAAATGGAAAGAACAAGAAAAGCTTTAGAAAATAAAATTGTCGCTAAGGCCTTATCAACATCCAACAACCTCATGTGATTGTCACTTAAATCATATAGGTCATTGCTGAACGAGTCAATGAAATGAAGACAAATGAAGAAAGTAAAGGTACTGACTCGGGTCCTGTCTTCTCCAAAAAGAAGGGCAAGGCTTTTCTTGACTTACTTTTAAGTGTGACTGATGATGAAGGGAACAAGCTAAGTCCTGAAGATATTCGAGAAGAAGTTGACACCTTCATGTTTGAGGTATTTTGTATTTTCAGGTGATTTCTAGGTACCATTAAGAAATTCCTTGCCTCTGAGAGTAGCTCCAGGGTAGAGCACTTACCTAGCATGGGAGGACCCCTGTCATTTCCAGCCCTGCAAAACCAAAAAACAGGCAAGTTGCAGTCTGTTTAGAATGTTTAGCATAATTTTAAAAAATGTAACCAGTGTTAGAGTAGTACAGTTAACTGAGGAAGATTTATTATATTATTATCAGAAATTAAAATATTCAAGAACCTGAGTTCTTCAGTTGAAGGATCAACTTCCTTCTTCAGAACAAGATTTTGGCTTTTAGTGGCTACACAACTATACACATTCTTTCTCAATAAAATCTAAGGTTTGTCAGATTTTCTCCAAGCAGAAGAGCAGCCAGAAATTACTCTCAGTTCTCTATATTGCTTCATACTTTCTTTTAACCTCCCAAACCCACAAGTCCATCAACTTTCTCCTTCTAAAGTTTTGACAAATGAGCTCTTTAGCTACTGCTATGAGCTGCATTAGCCAAAGAGGGAAGTAAGGATCCTCCAATAAGCCAGGCATAATATTGAATGCTTGTAATCCCCGCACTCTGGGAGGCTGAGCCAGGAAGATCACAAGTTCGAGCCTAACCTGGGCAACTGAGAGACTCAGTGAGTCTCTGTCTCAAAACAAAATAAAATAACCGTGCAATGCTGGGGATGTTGCTCATTTTGAAGGCCCTAGGATCTATCCCCAGTACTGCATTAAAAAAAAAAAAAAAAACCTCCAATAGAGAATCCAACTAGTTTGTGATTCTGAAATAATTTCTCCTTTAAGTGGAAGAAAGTAAAATGTGCCCATATTTTCAGTGACTCATTGTGGTAGCTGTTCCTCCTGTAGCCATCTGGGTATATTATGAATGCATTCTTTTAAAATTTAATTTAATTTTTGACAAATAATAATTGTGTGTATTCTTGAGGCATGAGGTGATGATCAAATCAGATTAACATATCCACCATCTTCACCATTTGTATTTATTTGTTTTGAGAACATTTAAAATTCACCCTTTTAGCAATTTTGAGCTATATAATACATTGCTATCAATTATAATCACCAAATTGTGCCAGAATTTATTCTTCTTGTCTAACTGAAACTTTGTGCCCTTTGACTAGTATCTCTGCTTTCCCATGTACCTCCTCACAGCCAGCCTCTGATAACCACCATTCTACTCTCTGCTTCTGTTAAAAAAAGTTCAACTTTTAAATTTTCCATATATAAGTGAGACCATGTGCCATTTTTTTCTATCCTGGCTTATTTCAATTTGGATAATGTCCTCTAGATTCTTGTATGTTATCACAAATGACAATTTCTTCTTTTTTTAAAGGTTGAGTAGTACTTCATTATATGTACACCCCATTTTAAAATTTAGTCATTTGTTGATGGCCATTTTGGTTGCACAGTCTACAGGCTCAATGCAATTTCTATTAAAATTCTAATAACGTTTTTCAGAGAAATAAAAATTTCTAAAATTTGTATGGAACCACAAAGAAACCCTGAAATGCCAATGCAATCTTGAACAAAAAGAACACTAGAAGCATATCACCTGACTTCAAAATATACTATAAAGCTATAGCAATCAAAATAGCATATTAGTGATATAAAAACGGACATATAGACCAATAGAACAGAGTAAAAACCCCAGAAATAAATCCATGTATTTATAACCAACTGATTTTCAATCAAAGTGCCAAGAATACATAATAGGGAGAATCTTCATTAAGTAGTCCTGGAAAAATTAAATATCCACACTCAGATAAATAAAAATGAATGACCTTTATCTCTCCCCTTATACAAGAATTAACTCAAAGCAGATTAAAGATGTAAATATAAGATATGAAACTATAAAAATACTAGAGGAAAACAAGTAAGGAGAACACTTCTTGAGATTGGTCTGGGCAGTAATTTCTTGGCTATGACCCAAAAGAATAGTCAAAAAGCACAAATAGACAAATGAAATTATGTCATGCATTCTTATTGAGTAAGGTTGTGAACTGTGAGCTAAAATAAACCTCTCTTCCTTTAAGTCGCAGGTATCAAGTATTTTGTCCCAGTGACGAGGAAGTGATTAAGACAGGTTCCAATCATTCCTGATCTATGTGTTAAAGAAAGAGATAAATTGAATCAGTGGTTTTAAACTTATTTGATAGGAGAGAATACTTTAATGAAAAGAAATCTTAAAACAGAAAATGGACATCTAAACTTGCTGAAAAGTAGAGCAGGTTCTGAGATCAAATCCCAGCCCTGACATGTATACAAGTATGGCCTCAGCCACCACACTTGACCTTTCTGAGCATCAGTATGCTTTATCTCTTTTGTCTTTTGCAGTGCTGGGGATTGAACCCCTGAGCTATATCCCCAACCCTGTAATCTTACTTTAAAAGTAAGGCCTCAGAACAGCCATGATTATTAGATTTTTTTTCAAGGAACACTGAGAATCATGCCTGGCATATAGGAAACATGCAGCAGACATTGGATATTATTATTTGATGTTGAAGTGGATATTTTTATATCTCTACCCTGCCCGAGTTCTCACACATACATGCAGGCACATACATATATTCACATTAATACACATTGGTACACATGTGTGTGTGCGTGCATGTCCATCTCACCTGTAATCTCTCATTCCCATGAAGACAGCCAGGCTAATGATCTCTTTCTTCTATCTCTAACATTATTTGACATTCTAATTCTCTTCTTACTTGACTAGAAGGCATATAATGTATAACTATTTATGGCCTCCTCCATTAGCTGGGTGCAGGCTAAGTTCAGGTCTTTTACGTACCAGGTTCCAGCCATTAAGTATTAAGCTGTTGGTCCTCCCCAGGCCACCAGTGTACTCCAGTTAACTCTGTGCTTTGTTCATTTTTCTTCTGCGGAGAGCAGATAGAATGAAATACTGTAGGAAGTTCCATAGACTTCAAACTTATACATGTGAGTCAGATTTCCACTCAAATTCAAGAAAAAACATTAAAAATGATTTAGCAAGAGCACTTCCTTACATGACTTAGTAGAGGATGGAGCGAAATTGCCTACATCTCATCTGGAGTTAGAGTAGGTTCTATAAAGGAACTTAGGTAAGATGGCAATATCAGAGACTGTTAGACTATATATTTTTAAAACTTATGTAATAGACCTCAAATAATTCAAAACCTGTTTTGATGTGGGAGATACTTGCCCAAAGAACAAAATATTACAATGAGCACTTACATTGCATAGGAAAATAGAAAAGTGAGATCTTCTGTGGAGGAGATGATTTTTTCCCTTTTTGTATTGAAAGCCTTATTCCTAAAGACATGATACAATTACTGATTTTCCTACACATTTTTCTCCTGAAGAGTTTACCGCTTTTGCATACAGAAAATTTCACCTAGTGAGATGAAGATAGTAGATAAGAAGCCAAGTCCAAAACATCGACTAGCTGGAGAACAGGGTTGTCTAGGATGTGGACATGAGTCTTTGAGGGGAGTCTCCTTACTGCAGGCCACTTCATGATAGTAGTGAGCAATAGCATGGGCTTTGTTTTGTTGTCATTCTGGCAATCAGTTCCTACATGTGCCTTCTACCAAGCTGTCTGGTCCTGGAGAAATTATTAGACATTTTTATTTTGCCACAGTTTTTATTCTCTAAAATATAAATAGTATTAATGAGTATATCCTAGAGTTTTTGTGAAGATTAATTGAATTAGCTTCTGCAAAGTACTTAGTATTTTGCTTAAAACTCAGCAAGCATTAAGTAGGCCACTTATCAGCTTCTTGAGGTGGTGAATATTTCTTAGATTCATACATGTATGCACCCAAACCCTTGGTGACCAGAATTAGCAGGTAAATTCTCCCTCACAGTAGAGGAAGGTAGAGAAGTACAGATCTGGAAGTTGGCTCATGAAAACCAGACATCTGTCCCTCTTAGAAAGGCCTGGCTCACCAGGATTTCCTGTATGGCTCCCTTCATTAGCACAGTCCAGCAACTTCCTGCAAAATGTGCACCATGGTGAGGCATTGAAATGTCATCACTAAGGACAGGCCTTTGCTTTTTAAGAGATTGTTGTGTTTGTTTCTCACAAAGATAAGATGCTGTACAGAAACAGTTTATGTCCTGTAGTTAGGCTACAGCTGTCAAATGTACAATGCAAAAGAATTAATGTAGTCACTCCTGATCTTCTCGATATATTTCTGCTTTTTTAAGCTACTTTTTTAAAAACAATTCTAGGGCCACGATACAACTGCATCTGCAATAAACTGGTCCTTATACCTATTGGGTTCTTATCCAGAAATCCAGAAGAAAGTGGACAATGAACTGGATGAAGTGTTCGGTATGTTTGACCCCTTCACTGATGAGATTTTAGATTCCAAGTGCACTGAAGAAAACATTATTCCTGCTCATCAAGGATGTGCAGAAGGACCTGTTCTAAGGACATTGTCTGAGGCAGGAAGGCTCCCATGCAGAGTCCTTTCCAGAACCTATCTTCTCTGTGAAGTCCTGTCCATTCCCTTAACAAGCATTTGTCCAGCTCCTGATATGTGACTGCCCTGGGCTAGATTCTGGGCATGCACAGATCCATGTGATTGACTTCAAGGATCCAACCGCTTAGTGGATAAAATAGGCACAAGTACACAAAGCTTCCCTTCATGGGCTGTGTCCTAGAGTGACATGAAAGACATGCTGTTTGGGAACACAGAGGAGTAGGTGGAGGAGCTCTTAGAAGGGTAAAGGAAAACTATTTCATGTGGGAACTATATCTGACCCCAAATGACAAAAAGAGGAGAAAGCTGATAGATAAATTTCTGTTATACAATAAGCAATCTGGAGCTAGAATTTTAAAGATGTCCCAGTGTCCCAGACTTGCTCTTTTCTCTTTCCCATTGTTACCATGTTAGCTTTTGTCTCCTTGATTGTTGTTCTAGGCATCATTCTCACCTTCAAAGCAACAAGAAAAGGGAGGTGGGGGTAAATGTTGTATTCATTTCCTATGGCAGCTGTAAAAATTCCACAAACTGGAAGGCTTAATGGAAATATATTCTCTCATTTTTCTGAACTCTAGAAATCTAAAATCAGTATCACTACCCTAATCAACATGTTCTCAGAGTTGCACTCCTTCTGGGAAAAAATCATCCCTTGCCTCTTAAACTTCTGGTGGCTGCTAACATCCCTTGGCTTATGGGCACATTATCCAAATCTTGGCTTATGGGTGGATGACTTCTTCCACATTGGCTTCTCGTGTGTGTGTAAGTGTGAGTGTGTGTGTTATAAGGATACCTGATGGCATTCAGAGTTCACCTAGATAATTCAGAATAATCTTCACATTTTAAGATCCTTGATTTAATCACTTCTGCGAGTCCCTTTTTCCAAATAAGGCAACATCCAAAGTTCCAGGAATCAAGACTTGGTATTTTGAGGGCCCATTATCAGGGGCTACCACAAGATTCTACCTTCAGTCTTATCCTTTTAAAAATCATGTGTCACATGGTTCTCCATAGCCAGAAAGTGAAAATGAAAACAGTTGGCTTAGATTACCAACAGTGTGGTATCTGATGGAGTTGCATAGAGAAAAGAAGTGGGAAAGGAAAACAGTAGTAGAGAAAAGGCATTCTAGAAAGAGAGGAGCCAGAGGAACAATGGCAAAGAAATGGGTAACTTTCTGGTTTCCAGGGCGATAGTGAATAGTGACTTTCAGGACACTTAGCACAATGTAGAATTCAGAGATGAGGTTGGAAAAACAGGTTTGCGTTCAGACAGTGTGAAGATTGGAATTGCATATCAAGAGATAAGACGTTTACACAGTGGAGACATCTAAACTTGAGCTTCATTTCTGTAGTCATTTTATTTTTTTCCATATCAGTTTTACTTTCTCTCAGGGTATCTCAAGGTGGGTAAGTTTGGTCTTCTAAAAGCTTGAATATGAGAAAATGAAAAAAATGGAAACAAACTCTTTGCAAATAGGGAGGGGTGGAAGAGCTGAAAGGAAGGCAGGGGAATGGGGGAAAAAAAGGAACCAAGTTAGAGCATGTGAAGGTACAAATTCTCAAAGATGAATGTCACTATTTTGTATACCTAAAATGTACCAATAAAATTAATAATTAAAAAAAAAAGCTTGATGGGCCAGGGATTTTGCTCAGTGGTTTTGCCTCCTGCTGTGCAAGCTCAAGGAGCCAAGTTCGATCCCAGGTACCAAAAATAAAAAAAAGCTTGAAAGTTTTTTTGAAGTGGGTCACATTTTTTATATCCTCTACAATTTCTGTCTCATTGCCAGCTTCATATTATTAATCTTGCATAAGTAGCAACACAATCTTTATTTCTAGAATTTCCAGTTCTGCATCTTGTCATATTATCTGCTTATTATGTTTCCTTTTTCCTAATGTATTACTTCTGAAGTTTTAAATTTTTTGAACAATTAATCTTTGCTTATTGAATTGTGTCAATTACTTTTAATATTTTTTAATTGAAGTAAATGTCACATAACATAAATTAAACATTCTAAAATGCAAAATTTACTGGCATTTAGAACATGCACAATGTGCTGTTGTCATCTCTACTTCTAAAATATTTTCAGCACTCCAAAAGGAAACCCTGTACCATTAAACAGTCATTCCTCCTTCTCCATTCCCCATCCCCTGCTGACCAACCATTTGCTTTCTGTCTTTATAAATGGAATCATGTAACATGTGACCTTTTCAACTTGGTTCATTTAATTAGCATGTTGTCTCATTTAATTTTGATTATGCATAATATTAGAACTTCTACTTCAGCTGAAGGTATTTAACATTTGACGTTTTGAGTCATGTATTCTTCTTTGATGCTTTCACTCCTCCCCAAGCCAAAAGAGTTCTTTTACTGTCATTTTGTACATTTTCGTTAATCAGGGAAATCTGATCGCCCTGTGGATTTGGAAGACCTGAAGCAACTTAAATACCTGGATCTTGTCATTAAGGAGTCCCTTCGCATTTTCCCTCCTGTTCCTTTATTTGCCCGGCGACTTAATGAAGATTGTGAAGTGGGTAAGTGTTTTATAATCAGAATAATCGGGAGAGTGAATTTTATCACTAATGTCTGTCTTGTTCTCTTCTTTTGACATGGTGTTTACTTCTTGCCAGCAGGTTACAAAGTTGTGAAAGGCACTGAAGCCGTCATTGTTCCCTATGCGTTGCATAGAGATCCGAGGTACTTCCCAAATCCTGAGGAATTCCAGCCAGAACGGTTCTTTCCTGAGAATGCACAAGGACGCCATCCATACTCGTATGTGCCCTTCTCTGCTGGACCTAGAAACTGTATAGGTTTGTATCCACTGGAATTGGTTTCACCTCTCAGGCCCATATGATAGCAGGTTTCTCGCAAGTATCTCTTTAAGATGTGATATGCCGTTACCTGTATACAACTGTCTTAAAAATACTGCTTCCTTTCTTCCTCCGCTTTAGAGTTTTAAAATATGATTGTCAGAAAATATAGTGATTTCCAAGGGATGCCCTTACAGAGTACTCCATATCGGGTGGCTTAAACAATAGAAATTAGCTTTTCACAGTTTTGGAGGCTAAAGTGTCCATAAAGCTGGTTTCTTTGAGGCTTCGTTCTTTGGCTCATAGATGGCTGCCTTCTCCCTGTGTTTTCACTTGGTCTTGGTGTGTGCCTATGTTCTTATTGTCTCAGTGTTTGTAGTAGGGTCTACCCTGATGGCCTCGTTTAACCTTAGTTAAGTTTAACTCTTTAATATTAACTACCTCTTTCCTCTTTTTTTTGAGTTACTGAGTATTGAACCTAGAGAATGGGGTGCTAAGCTTTATTCTCAGCCCTTTTTATCTTTTTGAAATAGGTTCTTGCTAAGTTGCCCAAGCTGAGTTTATCGTCTTCCTGCCTCAGCCTCTAGAGCAGTAGAGTTGTAAGGATTACAGGCAAGGACCACCATCCCTGGCCATTAATTACCTTTTTAAAGACTCTATCTCCAATATAATCAAAGTGTAAAATACCAGGGGTCAGAACATCCATATCTGAATTTTGGCTGGGGACACAGTTTAGCTTATAACATAAAGCATACTCAGTTTCATGGTAGAGTTTTAAAAAGTTGTAGATTTGGGAATAAAGTAGAATATAATTTATTATGATAAGAATATGTGATTATCTATTTAACCTAATTTTTGTGAGTGCTTTTAATAACTACATTTTTGCAAAACCAAAAAAAAGTATGGTTGCCATATGGCTAGTTGAAATACTTAAGCAAAATTAAATCACATCAACCATAGGTTGTAAGCACTTGGCTTTAGTATCTCTAGAATCCTGTATTTATGTGAATGTGGACATTAGTAAAATGAGGCCAGGTTGAAATGAGTGAATCTGAAGCGTATTTGGTGACTCTACTGTAAATTAAAGAGCCAAAAAAAAGGAGCACAGTATGAAATACTGATTCTCAACCTCGAAAGAGCCCAGGATTCATCTGAGGTACAGATGTCCCTTGTATCTCCAGGAAGTAGTCCCAGAATCTCCCACAGATACCAAACTTGCAAATGCTCAAGTACATTTGCTGTGGTATTTCCATCACATTCTCCCATATACTCTAAATCATCTCTATGTTACATACAATACCTAAAATAATGTAAATACTCTGCTAATATTTGTTATATTGCATTGTTTTGGAAATAATGAAAAAATTCTGTACATGTTCAGTACAGATGGAAATTGTAAAAATATTTTCTGTCTACTGTTGGTTGAATCCCCGGATGTGGAACCTGTGGATACAGAGGACTGACTGAATACAGATTCCTTGGCCCACTGCATTATTCAGACACCCTGTGTTGGAACAGAAAAGGGTACTCAAAAATCTTCATCTTTAGCAAGCATCTCAAGTGATAATGATTCTCTTAGGGCCCACATGAAATCATAAAGTAATTTTTTCCTGTAATAGGGCTTATGATTTCTCACATTTGAATTGTATCTATGATTAAAGTGATGATATTTACATTAATTTGCAGGTCAAAAGTTTGCTGTGATGGAAGAAAAGACCATTCTGTCCTATATCCTGAGACAGTTTTGGGTAGAATCCAACCAAAAAAGAGAAGAACTTGGCCTCTCAGGAGAGTTGATTCTTCGACCAAATAATGGCATTTGGATTACATTGAAGAGGAGAAACCCAGATGAATCCCAACTCTGTACTCCAGCTGTGCCCTTATCATGAAAAAGATCTTTGGCGAAGAGAAATTTTAAATTTATGATTTATAGATCATGAGTTCAATATTCTGAATCAGCAGACCTAATTGTTTCCTGTCCCCAATGATCTTTGGATCCAGTGTACTAATAAGAGAGTTTCTTATTTTCATTGCCACCATAGATGTTACATTACACCTGATCTTGGCCTCCAAGGTACAATTAGCTGAGTCAGTACCAAAATAAACATACAAGTTTCTCAACCTAGGGATCAACAGGTCAATTAAATTTCATCTGATAGACTCAAAGTATATAATTGAATTGAAGCTTCAAAATATTTTAAAGTTATTCTGGTTGATTCAGGAATATATACTGATACGGAAAAGTTTTAGATAACTTAATGGATTGAATATTAAGGTAGTTGTAGGAGCAAAATAAGTAATGTGTTCTTTTAAGATTTGCTTTTCCCATAACTCCTTGTTTGTTTAAGGTGACAGTTATCTGACTCTAACCCGTAACTTCATTAACCTAATAAAGTTACCATGCCAGGGTGAATTTACAATGTATATGTGCCTATCTTGTGTCTGTGACTTGTAAATAGAAACTGGAATTGTATTTACACATCAAAGATCACTGGGGATGAGATAATGGCTAAAAAGGATATAAAATGGAAAACGCTGAATAAAGGGGGCTGGGATACTAGCCAGACTGGTTTCTGGCTTTCCTGCCCACTCGCGAGAAGAAATTTTATTATTTTATCTGTATTTTGGGTCTCCGTGTATTTCTTTCTGAGATTTCTGCAACAATACAAGGGGTGATCAAAATATACAGTGAATGCTTAGTTAAAAATACTACTTTTGCCCCTGCCTGGCAAGCTCCAAGTCCTCAGTTTGATCCCCGGTACCAAAAAAAATATATATTACTGCCTTACACATTGCCATTAATGTCCCCTCAAAATACTCTCCCTGACTTCAGACACATTTATCTCATTGTTGCCACTTTCTGAAGCACTTCTGAAAATCCTCTTTCATGGCTTTATGAGCTGTGATAAAAAATGTGGTGAATGTGGCTGCCATCCAATGGAAAAGCAGGCTCAGAATAACATTGCTATGTGCCCTTGCCACCTTATTTATCAGTTCTGGCACTGTGCAACTTCTGAATCACCCCCAAAATAAAAATGACTGTGGAATTAAGGATTTTGAATTGATTTAGTATAATGAGGCACCCAGGACAGTGCCACTAAAGGCACTCGAAGAACCCTTCCAGAACTGCTTCAGAAAGTGACAATGGTGGAATAAGTGTGTTTGAAGCAAGGGAAAGTGTGCTTGAGGGAGATTAAAGGTAATGTGTCTTTTTCTGAAATCATTTTTTTGTTTTACAACTTAAACAATTTGCTATATTTTTTTAAATCACAGCTCACATCACGTAATTTAAAATGGTGAATAGTTTAGCACTTTGCCTTAAGGGGTTTATGTTTTTAAAATATCAATGACATCAGTTATGAGAATTATTATTATTATTCCACTTTTCAGATTTTATTATGTATAGCCGAAAATTTACAAGTTAACTCAAATTTTGTTGCCTTTTGACTGCACTTACTGTCATTTCATTTCTGTGGAATCATGCTTAGCTTTATATGTCATATATTATTGAAGGGGATTCCTCCTGGTAATCTCTATTCTTTCAGAGTGCCTCATAGGGTTGATTGATGGCTTTCAGAGCTGGAATGACCTCGGAATTGAACTTCTTGTATTCTCTTATGTTAGGAGTGAGGGAATGGAATCAAGAAGATAAATTTCTAGCCAAAGTCATCTACTAGTTCAGATTATGCTGAAAATAGAGGTCTGTCATTTAAATCTCTCCACTCCAATTCTGATGTACTTTCTACCATAATACACTATTGCTCTATGGAACCTGGGTCTATGACTAGATGTAGTCTTAGAACTCAGGATTTCTGCCTTTAGTTTAGGCATATTTCTTTTTGAATTCTTCCATTTTTTTTTTTTTTTTTGGTACTGGGGATCAAATTCTGGTCCTTGCACTTGTGCAGCAGGAGGCGAAACCACTGAGCTAAATCCCGGCCCCAGAATTCTTCCACCTTTAAGAGAACAGAGAAGGCACTCATCAATATTTAGTAACCCTGTAGTATCTCAGTTTAGGGTTGGATCTCCAGTCAGTTCCATCCATGGAACATCCTTGATCAAACAGAAAACTAACTGGTGCACATTTTCTGAATTTTAATTTGATATGTAAAGCCTCTACTTATCACTGAATGAATGATTTTTTAAAACTTTCAGTAAGTAATTTTAAGAAAATAAGTTGTTTTTTCCAATTTTCTCAAGGCTCTAGCAGGTAGGATTAACAAATCAGGAGAGTAAAATATGTAATATACAATGGATAGCAAAGGAAAAGATGACAAAACCAGAGTCATCTGAGAACCAGTGCAGCCTGGGGCCTTGAGGGTACTATCAGCAGCAACACCCACTAACTCTCCAAAAGCTGTAGTACATACAACTAGTCCCTAAATTGAAGACAGAAAGCCGAGAAAGTGGATGATACACTTGGAAAAGATTCCCATCAAATGATTAACCTTCTGGAAAATGGGTGTATGTAGTAAATCTCATTTCCAGATAAATCTTGGATAGTAAGAGTTTTATTCAGGAAAGTTGGTATGACCTCTCAATTTATGCACTCACATTTAAACCTGGCTTTTAAGTTTTCATTGAACCTACATTAGACATTAAATTAAATTTACAGTAAAACATTGCTTAATGTTATTCTTTGGCCTAAATAGTCATTTAACTCCAGAATAATCTGATACTCATATTTTAATTTACTTAAACTGTGTCAGAGGTGGAACTGAAAAATTATATCATGCTCTATATTATCAAATATCTGCTTGTGTCCTAATTATGTGCCTTACTTCTGCTTGAAAGAGCTATCTCAATAAAAATAAATTACATTTTAGACTTGGGTACTATGTTTTATTCTAATACTGTATGTCAGTTTGAAATTATAACTTTAAAAGGTAAATCAGTGGATGGCCACTGATAATAAAGGAAATAACACTTTTGAGTTGAAGTCATCAGTGACAATCAATTTTGCTGATAACCTGTTCCTTTTGCCCTTGTCACAGACTATGAATTTCCCTGACCTGACTCTGAGGAACAAAGAAGCAGAAACACCAGACCATTTTGTTCACCTGACAGCAGAAAGTGAAATCATATAAGACCAACCTTGGGAATCAGTAAAAGTGACTACTGTGGTTGGGACCCAAAGATTTAGAGTCTAGAAACCAGATGGTGTACTGTTGAGCTGTTGTGTTACCCACTGTCATGGACAACCAGGGAATATCAATTTTTTTAAACAGTGTCACAATTAAGAACTACTGATTATGAAAAGATAAGTATTTTTAACCCTAGAATATTTCTAGAAGAATAAAATATTTTTCTAGCATCTAATGAGATGCCCAATTGGTATTTAAATTTTTCTCTAGAAAGAGCATACTCTTAGTTTTTGGAAACATCCTATGATAACCCCTTTCTCTATGTTCTCCTCAGCTTCTGCTTTCCCAGCATATACATTTATTCATGTGCTGTGCTGATGTGGTTAACTTGGAATTTTCTTGCTCTTAGGGTTCCCACTTTCTCAGTTTAAATTGAGAGCCCTATGCAAAGTCAAACCAGAGTTCTCCCCTTGGGGGTTCCCAGATGGAATTGATGAAAACAGATGGTCAATCTGCTTTGGTGGAAACTTCAGGTCATGAGATTGATGGTGCAGTGGCACATGTAATTATGGTGATGAGTAGAGAGAGAGCAGAGAGAAGAAGAGGAAAGAACTGGAATGGGTTTAGTGTTCCAGAAGATTCTGAGCTTCAGCCACATGTCTGTCCCGCCATGTTCAGTTGTTCAACCCTGCCTTGGAAGCTAGGAAAAAGTGGATGGCCATTTGGCTTAAGTGGATTGTATGTAACTTATAAGCCAACTCAACTTACTGATTGTCAGGTCAGGTGTTGAATAAAGAAAGGGATCCTATTCTTTTTTTAAAAAATTCTTTTATTAGTACATTTTAGGTATACAAAACAATTACATTTCTCATTGGGAATTGTACCTTTACAAGATGCATCTTGGTTCTTATTTTTTCCCCATTCCTAGCCCTCCCTTCACCCCCTCCACCCTTCCCTATTTACAAA